CCCCCACTGTGGATGCTCTAAGGGTAAACTTATAATTTCGAGTAAAATAAATAATAAAGAAATCAAGCAAAGAGAAAATAAATAATAATTAATAAGAAAACTAGAATAACATTTAAAGAAATAAAAAAAGAAAAAACAGCCCCATCCAGCAAAAAGCCCGAAACAATCATCGTCAATGGAGGTGTGTCTCTGAGAGGGAGCTAGATTGAAGCTTTGTCTGTAACGTATACCTTGGCTGCCTTCCCACACCCTCCAAATGAAAATGAAAATGAACCAAAATATTCCACCCCTGTTATATTTTTTGCAGACCAGGTTTTTTCAATGAAATTTCAAAAGGTTTCGAACAAAAAACAAAATAATGATAGCTGGATTCTTGGTTTTGGTGGTGGTGGGCTTGATGGATCTGTGCATGAATGTTAGTTGGGAGTGGATTTTATTATATTATGGTATGCGTGTGTTTAGAAATTTAGAGAGAGAAGAAAAGAAAAGGGTGTGTAAGTGAAAGAAAAAAGCAAGAATGATCATCAATGGTGAAAAAGTTGAAACGCGGTGTATTGATAGGGAAAATAGGAGGGCTTTGTAGCACGCCACCGCCAATTTGGAGAATTGACGAGTTTTACTATCAGCAAAACAACAACAACAAACCGAGCTCTGAATTTCTCCCACAACTCTTCGGAATTTCATCCAGTTTTGGGATCAGACGATAATTCTTCGGAATTTTACGACGATGGTGACAATGAAGAAGAAGATGGTGATGGCGATGATGGATCTGGGTAGGGGGGTGTTGGCCGGGAGCGTGGTACGGTTTAAAATATTCTATTTATATAGTATAGCCGGGCGGCTATACTTTTAACATATTCTATTTGTAGAGTATAGCCGCTCGGCTATACATTTAGAATAGTCTATTCATATAGTATAGCTATACTAATCTATTTATATTTTATAGCCGCGCGGCTATACATTTAGAATATTCTATTTATATTGTATAGCCGCGCGGCTATACCGTTAACATGTTCTATTTAGGGTATAGCCGAAAGCCATGAGATTCTATTTCTTCATCCATCTCAGAGTTTAGTCCACCCAAATTCTCTCTCACCCCCTCCTCTCTCTCTCTCTCTCTCTCTGAAATTCCAAGAAATTAAACACAAGAAAATGGCGAAAGGTGAACGCAGGGTGTTGTTGGTATTGGGGGACTACGTGGAAGACTACGAGGCGATGGTTCCATTTCAAGCACTGCAGGCATATGGAGTTTCCGTTGATGCCGTCTGTCCTGGCAAGAAAGCTGGTGATATCTGCCGCACAGCCATTCATCAACTTTCTCCTGCTCACCAGGTCACCAACCTCTGCTTCTTTTGCCTTTTCCTTTGTTTATTTTTAATGAAAAACGTTTTCTTTAGCCTCATTACATCACTTGAGCACTGTCAATTGGTATTTTCCTTGTTCTGTAATCAAGCACACTCAATTATATTGAAGATTGAATGCTTACTTCACTTGAATTTGTAAACCCAAAACAAGAAATTTGTCTCAAAGATTGAAGTGCTTACAATTCTCACATATGGGATTATGTTGCCTCCTCTAAAATTTGGAATCTGTTGGGACTGGAAATTAGTTTGTCAAGTTTAAGAACGAACATCACGCTTTCAAGTATAGTTTTTTGCATCGGCCAATCGTTGGTAGCCTTAATTATAGACAAAATGAATAAGTTTTATTGTTGATTAGAGCCACTCTATTAGATTGACAAATAGCAATCCGTAGGTTATCGTTCTAGGTTGTGTGGACAGCGAGACTAAAGTAAGCTCAAACAAGAACACACGTTAGGAGTTTTGTTAGAGTGCTTGCAGCTTGCTCATTCATGAGCTAGAGAACCGACCTGTATTGAGCTTGAGTTCTGGGGACAAGACAAGACAGCGTGAACAAATTCTTGGCTCCAACGTCACTGCGTACACCATATTCAATAAACAAAATTGCATTCGTGCCCTCGTCTCTAAGTGAAAATAATCTGATAATGGGCTACCTAGGTTTGCTGAATCGTGATCTGTGTTTAATTTACAAATCTTCAAATGCTATACGTCTTTCTGGTCCCCCTTTGTTTTAATATGTTTTTTGGTTTTCTATATTTTTTTTTCTTTGGTTGCAGACTTATTCTGAATCACGTGGTCACAATTTCGCACTCAATGCAACATTTGATGACATTGAATTTAACAAATATGATGGATTAATAATACCAGGAGGACGGGCACCTGAATATCTTGCTTTGGATGCGTCGGTTTTAGAATTGGTGAGAAAGTTTTCTGACTCCGGAAAGCCAATTGCTTCGATTTGCCATGGGCAACTTGTCCTAGCAGCTGCAGGCTTGGTTAAAGGTAGGAAGTGTACGGCCTTCCCAGC